TGCCTTTGGAAACTTCACAAAATACAACGTAAAATTCACACAATATAACGGTACCCTTCAAGATTTCTCATTTTCCTCACCAAAACTCTTTTTGCTCTATTGATCCCAAGTCTAAGGTTAGGTTTTGAATAATATATTTACAATTTTAACCCTAAAATTAAATTTTCTAACAAAATAACCATCTATTACCCTATTAGCACCGTTAGGTGTGTACAGAGACTAAATTCCAAAAAAAATAAAATTGATTTGACTTGTTGACCGACAACTTTGACTAAACACCGGTGGTGGGTCCCACCTTTACGCACCCGGTGGGGGCCGATGCATAAGGGCCCCACCCGACCGGAAAAGATTTAAAAACTTTAACTTTTTTTCCGCATTTTCAATACATAACACTATTTATCCTCATCCTCAATAGAAAACACTATTTATTTTGTTCTCCTTCCTAATACAACACTATTTATTTTTCTTCTTCCAAAACAAAACACTATTTATTTTCCTCATTCCCACTACAACACTATTTATTTGTATTTTTCCTCCTCAACCCCACTATATAAACAATTCAAATTTCATATTACGAACACAAAACCAACACTTCAAAAAAAAACACTATATATATCTGAGTTCTTTCTCAAGGATCAATGTCTTTGATTGAAAAAGTTAGAGTACGTGTTTTTGGTGAAGGTTTGTGGCAGTTAGTCAATGACGTGGTAGATTATATTCCAGAAACGCAAAAAGTTGTTGCATTGTTGCCGATACACTTAACATTACCAAGTTTAGTCAATATTTAGCTAGAAAATTAAACTTACCTGATTTTCAAAATCGTTTTAAGTGAACATATAAATCTCTGTCATCTGGTTCGATTGTCGAGTTATTTGACACCGATGACACGAGACAATTTTTGGCTATTGATTTGGATGTCTCACCGCAAGCCCTAAGATTGTATGTTTGCAATCGTGGTGTTGAAATTTATCAATCTAATTCAAACCAAGAGATTGTTCCAGCTACTATGTATGGGCTCGAGCACCCTCAGTATATACTTCAACTCGTTCTATATGTGCTAAACCAATCTGAGCCGGCTTCCGGCCAAAACATATTTCCACTCACTTCATACCAATCGTTCCAAAGTGATGAGACAACTCATAACACTCCATATTATTCGTACCAAACTCAATATCAACCGTTTCAGACCCCACTTGAAACATACCAATCTCAGTATCACCGGTTTCATAGCTAGGGGACGTATGAAACTCCATATCAGTCATACAACACTCTATATAAGTCATACGAAAATCATCCGACGTACCAATACCAAGATCTACCATCTGATTATGGCATTCGTATTTCTAAAATTTCTGCCAAAGAATATGACGCCAATTTAGATGACACTGAAAATGCGTCTAAGAAATATAAGGTTGATTTTGATCCTTATTATGGGGCTGTTTCGGGGGATTTTTTGTATCATCCCAATACAGATGAATATCTAGGGCTACAATCAGATAGTAGTGATAGTGAATCTTATACAAGATAAATAAGGGTCTTGGTAGGGGTAATATTAGTAATCCGATGAGTTGTAATTTATTTTGGGGCATGCTTCCCCCATTAACGCCAGTCCCTATAGTGAAGCCTAAAGAACTGGCCCCCAAATATCAACGTTATAAACGAGTGAAATTGGGCAAATTTTCAAGAGTAAAGAAGACTTGAAACTAGCCCTAAAAAAGGGAGGAAAGAGAAAGAATAAAAGTAGGACTGAAATGTCTTGAAGAGGGTTACCAGATGAAAACCACTCGCTCCACGCAATTTAGGTTCGAAGCAATATGTATATTAGAAAAGTGTGAATGGTGAATAAGAGCAACCGTAATTAACGGTACAATGTTGTATCAGGTTTGTACATATAAAGACTTGCACACATATTCACAAACACAAGTGTATCCCAATCACCGTCAAGCAAACAAGAAGGTGTTAGGTCATATACTGAAAGATGCAATGAATTACATAAAGAGTATACAAGAGCCATGACATCATCGTCGATATGGAGAACAACTACAAAATCTCAGATAGTTATATGCAAGTTTGTCGTGCATTGTGTTATGCCATTCTCCTCCTAATAGGCGACCTGGCGGAATCATTTTCTTTACTCTCGGTATAATGCTACAATTTGGAAATGGCTAATCCAAGGATCGTGATGAAGATCGAGACGGTTGAACTGGCACGGTTTAAGCGTTTATTTGTCGCCATTGGTTGTGCGGTAAATACATTTTCATTGAAATTATATGTACACTATTTTTATATATACTCAATTTATTTGTTTTTTTTCATTTTTTAAAGATTCGATCGTTTTTGAATCATTGTAGAAATGATATTATATTAAAATCAATACATTGTAGAAACAAGATTATATAAAAATT